TGACCACGCCTCTTGTGGGGACGTGTGACTAACCTATGAAATATGGGTCATGAAGTGGACAAAAGATATACTCGCTTTTGGTGACTGGGCGCTCTGGGCGTTAAACGCCCCCATTTTTCTGTGATAGGGCGATGTTTGGCATTCAGACTCGGGGCGATACCTGCTCGCCTGGGGTGCCCTGACAGCCAAGCGGAAAGACGTCCCAGCTTGACCCTAACCTCATCCAAACGTTGGGGCTTATCGTAATTTGCACGCATTTGAGGGGGACTGGACGGATTTTTATCAAACATGTGAATGTCAGAATACAGAAGAAATGTTCACTTTTTAATAAATATTTGGTCATACAGCATCACCTCGAGCCTGCATCCTGATGACGGATAAAAATGCTGGGTTTTAGCCAACTGTCTTCTCGCCTCCTGTCGTGAAAGGGACCAGACTCCTGGAATGCTCTAACGGCTCAGCCGACTTCAGACTCCAGACCTAAAGAAAGTTTAGGCCTTGACATTGCTGTGCACAAATATGGGTGCATCGCATGCATGACAATGGGCCTGAAACTGTTTCAATGGGCGTGATAAGGTTGGCAGGAAGTGGCGAACATTACAAGACAAAGGTTTACTCACTCCCAACTGCCCGGGCAAGACGACTTTTATTGCGACTTCGCAAGAAGGGCGATTTTAATGACTTATGAATCGCCGTCAGGGAGGACTCATTTTTAGTGCCTGGTTGGTCTGGGCTGCTCTACTCACCATCAGCAGGCGCATTCCATCTTGTCGATAATCAGACTCATATATGCTTTAGCTGAAATGGCAGAATTGATATATTAAAATAAACTGAATTTCTCAGACACTTTCCGTATATACATGTTGTTGCATCCTTTAATTTCTTCGAAAGGCCGATTGGGAGGGATTCGTAAAATGACCTCGACAGAGGCCTCAAAGTTGTGACTATAGATTTGGGAAAATTAGGGTCCCATCGCACCGTCCAGCGACTCAGACAAAATTGCAAGAATTTCAGTCTATGTAGGCTTCGAGATTATCAGTAATGCTTATATTATTTGATTTCACTTAGCCCTGCCTCTTCCATAAGTTTATCTTATCCCGGGTTTCATCAGCATCCCCGGTGGATTCGATTCCAGGTCGTGGGTCTCGTGGTGACTTTACAACTATAGTAGTTTACAAGGTAGATAGGACATCCAAGGGGAGCTAGACCTTCAGCAAATCACTTGTATAAGAGTAATGCCGTTTAAGTTATTGCAATTGATGACATTACTTATCTTCGATATAAGTAGTTGCCGAGATTGTCAGTCATTCTTGAATTAGTTTTATAAGTAGGTTTTCAAACTTTCAGTAGATTATATATATGAGGTGTATTCATCCTACTTCGTTTAAAGTGATACGGGGATTTGTAATTGAATTTTCCCACAATGCTATGGGTAGACCTTACATTTCCATTGAATTTCACACAACCTTGCTATCACAGAAGGTTTTATTGTCCCAGCTGGACTGCGGTTTCGACCTCGCCTAGGTCTCATCAGCACCCCCGGCAGTGCAACGTATAATATCGACACGTTAAAACGAAAAATATCTAACGTAGTCGATTGCTATAGCAAATAGAACTTTACTTTTAGAAGTGGGTTGACCTCGTTGTCGCAACTTGGTCTTGTGTTCAGGGAGACTATGTAGAACG